TTCTTATATAGAATGTAGCTTTCTCTCTATTGAAATGTTAAACTTAAACTGCAGGGATCAGTTCATGCTTCCACAGTTGGTTGAAGGTCTTCTATATAATTTGCCCTGAAAGCAGAGATGCAGTATATGCACAAATATTATGCTTTACACTAGCAAAGATACATCCTTGAAATTTAAAACACCAAGAAAAAAGATTCTCATTTATGAACAAAGTAAAGCTTCTTATTTCAAAAGTCCTGTTACACTGGGAAAATCTATTGTCTAAGTCCCCTTTAAAGTGCTGAAGAGAAAGGATGTCAGCTTAAAGACTAAGCATGTGATCTAAGCCATGCTAATTTCAATTGCTTCATATGCATATGAGAGATAAACAATGAATAAGGAAGACTGAAAAAGAATTGATGCCTTTGAATTGTAGTGCTGTAAAACAGTATTGAATATACCAAGGATTGCCAAAAGAATGAATAGGAAGAATGGAGGAAGTACAATCAGTGTACTCTTTAGTGAAAGGGATAGTAAAACTTTGTCTCCTATTATTATGGACATGTTGTCAGGAGGGCCAGTCCTTGGAATAAGACATCATATTGGGCAAAGTGAAGGTTTAGAGAAAGAGAGGCAGTCCCTCTCTTTACTGACTGTAACAATGAGCTTAAGCAATTTGGAGATCATGCACGATGATGCAGGATAGGGCAAAATTTTGATCTGTTGTTCATAAGATCACTATGAATCTTAGTAGATAGACCCAAAGGTACCTAATGACATTTATTATAAAATATCCTATACTGCCACATTGATAATTGTTATTATGTGCGTTTGAGTTGGAACTGTTTCATAGCTGACCCTCCAGTGGGTTTTTATAGGGTGTAAATTACATGGGAGGAGATCACCCATTGATTATTAAGGTAGTCACACAGCAAACACTTGTTTTCTATTATATCAATTTGTATTCTATCATATTACTTTATGATCCTGTATTATCCAAGTGATCAAGTTTCTTCTGATTAGTAATTGGTCTTGACTTCTCAAGACATAGTCCTTAAATTCAAGAGGGAAGTTCAAGATATCTTTTACAGCTAAACTTTTTAAAGGTTTCCCAGCGCAGCTATGGGCAAAATTTGTTTTATAATCTTACTAAAGGATGGAGAATAAAAGTAGTAGATGTGTTTGGTATGCCCCATATTAAAAAGTAGTTTAACACTGTCTGAGAACTGACTAAACAAGTGAGCATTTTAGCCTTCCGTGAGATGATTTGTACTTTAATATATCAATTTATTTTATCAATTTCAGAATCTGTATACTTTCTAGGAAGAGCTCAAATATTTATCAATACCATCACTCTCTGTAAAATGGTCTAACTCTCAGGGGAAACGATAATTAAATAAGACTGAAGTTTTATATTCCGATAGAAAATTTTAACCCTCCTTCCTTCTGATCCAGGGAGCTCTAGTGGCCCAGTGGGCTAGGAGTTGTGCTCCCAGCATAACGGCAAGCTACTAGAATCAGCTGCTGCACAGGAGAAAGGTGGGCCATCTCCTCCCACGTATTTACAACCTGTGAAAACCGCTTAAAGTGTCAGCTATGAGTCATTTTCAACTCAAAGACAATGAAGTTTGGTTTGGGGTTTTTATTCCCATTATAATATGGGCTGCTGTTTTTTAAATCAACCATAGTCAATTATACTTATTGTCAAGTGGTTGAAGCTTTCCTTTCATGCTATTCTGAAGACTTTGCAGCAACTTATGAACTAGACTGTACCTTTAACAAAGAAAGTCAGTCTGAGAGTTTTAAGTAGGACTTTACCAGATATTCTAAACTCTTGACATTTCAAAGAACAGACTTAAAGAGAAAGGTTTCTGAGGTAACGCTGTGCCGACAATATGAGACAAAACTTTGCTAATTTATAAATTGGATTCCAGAAGTCCTTCTAGGCCAGAAACAGATCATTTAATGAAATTAAACTAATAAATACGAGTGAATTTCATGGAACCGACTGGGCTGAACTTATCATGACTATCCAATTTCTAAATATGAATAAGTGTTTTGTAACACTGTCCTTGTTATATGCCATCGAGTCAGCTATGACTCATGTTATTTTTAATGTTTTATTTCCTAATCAGGAAAACCTTTAGCAGATTATGATTTCCCAAGCTAAATGATTTTGTTTTTAGTGGTGCCTTGTTCTCACTGAGCCCTCAAAATTCAAGAGCAAATACTTTTTCTGAGTCTCTTTACCTTTCATGGCAAAGTAATTGTTTGTATGAGAAGCTCTGGTGGCAAAGTGTGTAATATGTCAGGCTGCAAACCAGAAGATTGGCAGTTCAAATCCAAAAGCCACTCCAAGGGAGAAATCGATGTGCAGCACCCTTCCGTAAAGATTTACAATCTAGGGGGGATTGTGTACCAGTGAAGGAGTTTTTCTTTTGCTTTTCAAGAAGAGCGAACGGGGGGGGGGTGGGGGAGGTGCAAGGAGAAAAGTGCAACAATGAATGAATGGAATTCCAAAATCTCTGTAGATGTTCATTGAAATAAAAAAAAAAAAAAGATTTACAACCTCGGAAACCCAATGAACTGTTTTCTAACTATGAGGGTAGAGAATCTGGGTTTTTTGTTTTGTTGTATATACGCTCTTTTCATATTCTAAAGTATAATAGGCCTCCCTTTTAATAATGGCAAAAAGTTGCACTTCAATCCCGAAGGCACACAGTTCAAATCCACCAGCTGTGCGACAGGAGAAGAATGACCAATCTCCTCTCATGTGATTAACTATCTTTGAAAACCTGCTAAAGGGCCAGCTATGGATTGGTACCAACTCGATGGTACACAACAACATTTGCATATCCTAAAGAATAACTGTTCTTCCCTTTCACTAGGATGTAGTCAGAAAAATAGACCATATTTGGAAAGTCATATTTAAAAATAAGCCTCCTCTCATCAGACCTGATGACTCCATAATTACAGGAGGAAGAAAGGTTATAACATCATATATGGAAGAGTAACAATAAAGCTTCCTAAGAAAACAAACTGAGGCCTTTATATGGCTTATAGAGCCTTGGCCTCACAGGCAAAAAGGAGGGTCACTTCCTGAATTGCTAAGAATTTTAATAGATTTGGAGGATGGGGAAGAGAGAGATTTATAGATCTGTTTTTCACAGGGTGGCTGAGATCGTAGTCAACCGGATAGAACCTAACAATTACTCTACGTAATACAGGGAGATCTATCTGATGGCCTAATGAGTAAAGAATTGTGCTGCCAACCCAAAGGCATTCAGTTTTAATCCACCAAGTGCTCTGAGGGAGAAAGATGAATACTCTCATCCAGTATGATTTACAGCCTCTGAAAACTTGCTGAAGGATCAGCCATAGTTGGTCCCAACTCAATAGCTGTGAATGACTGAGTGAGTGCCTGACTGAGTGAGTGGTAATGGTTAATAAAGATGAAACCAGGGAGAGAGAAATTACTTGGGTTTGGGTTCGTATTCTCAGAATAAAAGAGTAAGAAGACATAAAACCTATCTTTGGTATAGTGGAAGTCACTGAAAACACTCTCTTAGATTCCTTAAAACATTGTTAGAAGCTATATCTCTGGCTTAATTAAAATTTGCTCAGTAAAGCATGGCTCTAGATTTGATAGGCACATCAAGAAAGCTTCATATGCTGATCAAAACTTACTGTGAGTAGGATAGAGAGGGTGACGATGGTGCAGATGGGGCAAGGTTCATTGTATCACTATGAGTCAGTCCACTTGACACACCTGATGACACAACAATACAAAGGAAAGGGGAACTGCAAGGAAGTATTTTCACTCACCAGGCTTTCAAGGGACTTTTTTGCTTTCCTTTTTTATTATCATTAATATTTTTCATAATAAGCATAAGTAATTTCAAAAAAAAAAGGCAACTGAGTAACTTTTGGGAGCATATATTTGGAAGTCATTTTATGTTGCAAAAAGAGCTCTAGGTCTATAGGCATTGCTACCTCTCAGAGTATCTCCTTTCAGGCAGTTTACAGCCTCCCAAATGCCCACAGGAGGGTCTGCCAAGGAGTAGGTTTTGACACAACAGCAATGAGTTTCAGTTGGGCTTTTTTTTTATGTAGTAGAGACAGGGCTATAAGTACACACACACACACACACACACACACACACACACACACTCTCTCAAAGACTGAGAACCACTGAAATTACTCATCAACTTGCTGGTAAATTTATCCTACAGAAAAGTGTACTGCCTAGTTCCTGATAAATCATGAGTTTACTGTCTGTTTCTATCCCATAGATATGCAAACTGGATCCTATAAACAATACCTGTTAATATTTCCTGATTGTCTTAAAAGGAGAATTTGCAAGACAGGAGTAAAATCTGCAACTACCTCTATTAGTTTTAAAAAGAACCCAACAGCTGAGCTGTAGAACAGAATAGAGAAGCTGAATATAATATGAGGCATACACCAGTCCTCAAAATGCCTGTAAACCCAAAAATAATATTGTCCAGTCAATTCTTGTTCATAGAGAATTGCCTCAAGTGGTTTCCAAGACTTTTAGATCTTTAAGGAAGTTGATTGCCACATCTTTCTCCCTTGAAATGGCTCACACTTAATGTCATGGAATCGGAAGTGACCCACAGACAACCCTCAATGAGTTTGCCGGAGGAGGCTATAAATCAAATGGGAGGAGACTGTCAGCCTTTCTCCTAAGAAGCCATTGGTGGATTTGAACTGCCAGAAAAGTACAGCCTCGATTAGAAGCACAGCTCCTACAAACTGCACCACCAGAGCTCAAAGTTCCAGCTTTTTGGTATAGCATTTTTAAGTGCTTTAGCCACCACACTAACATAGTCCCTTATCAAAATCTTATAGATGATGGATAATATTGATCTGGAAAGAGTAAGGATAGGAGGAGAAAACCTTAGAAGGGAACTGAGGACAGCAGTGTGGGTGCACATGGAAATTCTATGTCTATCTCTGTAGTCTGCTACTAAGGTTACAAACCAGATGAAAAAGATTACCAATCGCTCCATCTCCTGCTCCCTGAGTCTTTCCTCCCTCTGTCGCCGGTGATAATCCATCAAGTCGTCTCTCCCTGAAATGGAGCTGATGCTGCTTTTTCGCTCCCGAAGAACAGGCTGAGGGGTTCCTGAGGCCTGCCGGAGGCTCTCCAAATCAGAATCGTCAAACTCGGATCCGCACGAGTAGTTCCTCCTGACCGCATATGCTCTGTCCGGCTCTCTGGAAGAAAACGAGTGATTCGGGCTTGTCCCTGAGTATGTCACCCGATCCAAGTCATCAGAGGCACAGGACGAGGTGGAGGCCAGCAGCATCTTGCGAGCCATGCGGGGGCTGGCCGGCACGCTGAGGGCAGAGCTCATATAAGGACTGCCCTCAGATATAGAGGTCTTGTAGGGTAAAGCCCCTGAGCTTAAAGAAGAAAAATTAAGGTAATTATCACTGTCTATTATGCTATGAGGTAGATCCTTTTCCCCCTGCTTCATGTGTTTAGAATTGCCCAAAGAGGTCCTTGAAGGCAGGCTGAGAGGCATCAATTGATTTTCTGTAGCTTTGTACAACCTGGGAAGCGATCGGCTATAGGCTCCCATGTGACTGAGGCTGCTGCCTGAGTATTTCCTTGTTCGAAAACCAACGTTGTCAGACTCCTTGTGCCTGCTTAACCTGGGCTGAAGTGCCAGGTTGTCCTGAATGTTCATTCTCCTAGTTTGCTTGGGGCTGGAAGGCATGCTCGCCGCCCCTGATCTGCTGCTGATGGGGGACGGGCTGGCTTCACTCGGTGACATTCCATTCCACATGGTCAGGAGGGAGCCAGATGCCTTTTGGTTTTCCAATCCTCCCAGAAAGTAGACATTGTCGTGGGATTTATTCCTTGAACTATATTTGGAATAGGGGGGCTTCTCAGAGAGCCTCAAGGCCCTTTCACTGTCCCGGCCAGCATAATGGTCAAAGTCCGCTCTCCCAAGGGGATAGGCACCACTGAGGGCAGGTGAGGCACTGCTTAACGGAGTGGGAGGCTTCATGGAAACGTTCTTGTCAGTGCCATCACCAGAGAACTGCTTGCCTCCCTGGGTTTTGGCCAAGGATGAGCTATTTCTGACACTGGTTCCCAATGGAGAAGGGCTTCTCTTGCCAGGCACAGGTTGTGAGAGAGTTAAATAGGAGCCAGAGTAATCTCCATTTGCTTTAAATCTCAGACTGGAAGTGTATTTCTTCTGGCTTAGGCCCTCCATCATGTCTAGAGGTTCGCTCTCAGAGGAATTCGTTTCCAAATCTTCCTCTAAACTACCATTTTGTACATCCAGCTGCGCTTGTGTTTGGCTCGGCTCTGCCATAATCTCGTTGGAATCTGGAAAAGAAAATGAGAAAAGTTTACTTCACAAAAAGCTTTAAAGAGAATAACACTTGCCTGTCTGCAGTTGGACTAAAGGTTCTTAACAATAAAATCAAATTTAACTTTAAAAAAAAATCTGTTTTACTAATAAACCCAGTGAAACTGAATTGCAAATTGAAAAGGAATAAAAGCCAATGGTCTATAAAATGCTTTATACAAAAGAACAAGAAATCAAGAGGAGGATTATCAGGGGCATTTGAGGAAAACAAGTACCTAATGATGTTCAGGTGCAGGATGAGACTAGAACAGGACAAAAGACAATTTCTCTTCAGTGCTCTGGTCCTTGACAACCTGCTTCCTGAGTACCTACGAAATACCCAAGGGGATCATAGTATGGACCTTCACTTAGACGTTTCTGTTAGAACCATTAACTGCATAGAAATAAGGTCCTGAGGAAATACAAGTTATATCCTTGCAAAGAAAGAAAAGTTTGTATTAGATATTGATCAGTAACCTTATGGTTAGACATAGTTCCTTCACAAAAATGGAGGAATGCCTCCATTTGCTAACCAAGCCACAAGCATTGGTCTCAATTTGTCTGGTCAACAGAGGAGGAAAAAGTCAAGTAGAAGAGGAGGATATAGAATGTGTGGTTCTGTGAACAGCCACCTCCTTTACTATAAGATCAAAGTGACTGTCTGGTTTCCAGCTACTACTGATAAACTTTTTGATGAACTATTCTATAGTAGAAACCTGAGGGGAAAAGGGGGAAACACAAAACAACTGCAAATTCTTATGAACTCCAGACTTCCTGGAGTCATGAAGGGTGGATGAAACCCTGAAACTATTGCCATTGAGATAATCTTTAAATATGTAAAAAGAAAAAAAAAACTTCTGAAGTCTTCTTAAAACAGAACAAAATAATAGCTTCTTGTTATTAGGTGTCAACAGTGACTCAGAATGACCCTATGAATAACAGATTGGAACCTTGCCCTACTGTGTGCCATTGTCACAATCATTGTTGCAGTCACCCTGTCAATCCATCTGGTTAAGAATGGACTGCTTAAAATGACAATAGCTTAACTAATGAAAAACATCTGCAGTGTGCTTTAGAATATTGTTGTCGTTGTTGTGTTAATAAGATTAACATTGCCGTTGAGTTAATCAAATCAGGATTAACTGATGTGTATGTGTGTGTATATAGACGTATATATACATTTGTGTATATATGTGTATGTATATATACATCTATATACATATGTGTGTGTGTGTGTGTGTGCGCGTGTGTGTTTATAGATAGTGATAGTGCCTTTTCAAGGCACTTACACCCATCAAAAATAAGCTGGGAATTTTTGTTGTTGTTGATTCTCTTTGAGTTGAATATGACTCATAGCAACTCCATGAACAAAAGGCCTGAAGCCCTTCTACAACCATTGACATTTATCAAAGTTCATAGAGTTTCAGGAGGCATGTTATTTAGGAAGTGGATGCCACTCAAGCTGGGAATAGCAGAGAAAAAAGTGTTCCCCAAATTACTGCCACATGATCTGAATGAAGTGTTTAAAAATGAAAACTGTTGAACTCTAAAATCTAGTCTTCCCAATTTCTTATGCTCATCTTTAATACCAAAATCTCTCTTTCTGTAGAATAATCCTTCTCCTCCTTTTTGCTAAGAAGTCACCTATCTAAACATTCTTTGTCTTTTTCAAAGCTCAGATCATAAGTCTATCTTTTATTATTTAACTTTAAAGATATATAATGATGTATCTTATGGGGACACTTCAAACATTAAGAAGCTAGTCTGTGATGCAAGGGAAGTTTCCTTGGAGTGTGGTCTGCATCCTTTTTTATCTTAACTAGTGTTAAAAAATAAAGACCCTACAACCAAGAAAGAACTGGGAGCAGAGTGCATCCCCTGGACCCGGTATCCCTCTGCTAAGACTCTCTTAGACCCAGGAGAAGACTGATGCTAACACACATTTCCAAGGAATTCTGGGCCCATTGATGCTAAAAGGAAACAAGATCTTCTTCCAAGAGCAATAGAATTAAAAAAAAAAACACCACACCTAAAAACCCTCCTTATGGAGCTAGTAGTCTAAATCTGTACTTTTAGTCTCCTAAACTTTCAGAGAGTTGGACAATGACTAGGGAGGATAGAAGGAGAATTGATGCCTTTGAGCTGTGGTTCTGGAGAGGAGTATTGAGTGTACCATGAGCTGCCAAGAAAACAAACAGATTAAACCAGGCTGCTCCTTAGAGGCAAGGATGCTGGGGCTTCATCTAACATACTTTGGACATGTTGTAAGGAGGGACAGGTCCTTGGAGAAGGACGTCATGCTTGGGAGGGTGGAGGGACGGCACAAGAGGGGAAGACCCTTGATGAGGTGGATTGATTCGGTGACTGGGGTAATCGGAATGGGTGTGTCAGAGGCAGTTTGACTGGCACAGGATACAGGGTTGTACATAGGGTCGCTATGAGTCGCAAGCGACTTGACGGCACCTAACAACAACAACAAACTTTGAACGATTAGTTTTCCATTTGCTAAAGCTATCCATTTGTAACATTTCTATTAAAGCACTACCAGATAACCAAGATAATTGTTAATCAATTTCATAATATGGTTGTAGGTGACAAATATAAGGAAGGAGGATTAAGTATTAGTTCTATCTAATTTCCACCCTCCTTCTGACTCCAGTTTACTACTTGAGGGTAAAACTTAATTAACTCAGATTTTTTTTTTTAAATTTAATCAAAGCTCTCCTCACTCTATCTCAGCTATAGACTAAGGGATGCCAGGGATTGAACTCTGTCATCCCTAGTTATATGTAGTTAATGACGTAATGTGAAAGCTATGTAATGATGCCCCCATAAACTGATAAACCAAACAGTTGTAAAAGGATTAAGGATAGAATGCAAAACTCTTTTACTCTATTACAGCCCTAATCCAATGCAAGGGAAGTTTCTCTAGGATGTGATCCATATTAACTTTTCTCTCACTAGAAACAAAAAGAAAGCAAACTGAGAGGAAAGGACCAGAGTACTACCAAGAAATAATTACCAGGAGTAGAGTGTGTCTATGTGGACCCAGGGCCCTGCACAAGGAAGCTCCCTGGCTCCAGGGAAGGAAGGCCAAGGCACATAGACACCTCCAAGGAACAGCAGGCTTACTCATACAGCCAGTACCCTGAAATCAAACTTCCAGTTTCTTAAACCAAAAGAGACAGAGAGAAATTCTGCTTATTAAAGACATCCACTTGAGGTATCTATGTACACAGCACTAGACAAATAAGAATTTGGTACCATGAGGCAGCACTGGATAACTAGGACAAGATAGTCCATCGAACTTATTATTCATCCGCCTCATTGTCTTCTTGTGCAAGTTCAGGCAACACAGTGGGATCAGCTTGCTACCAACTGGACAGGATCAATGCAGAGTCTGGCTGCCTAAGAATTTATATGCTGGTAACAGATTGAGTATTCATCTTGTAGGTACAGCTGCAGTGTCCCCAAAACATCTGCCTTGGGCTTTCTTACCTCTAACCCAAACTATCTGTCTTATCTCTAACCTGATCTGTCCAGAGAGTTAAAAGCATTAGTTTTTAAAAAGTGTACTTAAAAAAAACGAAACAGTTTCTCTATTATAATTGGATCTGTCTGTCCAGAAAGTTAAAATCATTAGTTTTTAAAAAGTGTACTTTAAAATAGTTTCTCTATTATAATTGGATCTCAGCTGGGATGCAGTCCTGCTGTCTGGCACAGGCCACATGTTCCATTCCTCAGAGACAGTGTCCTCTCTTGCCCCAAGGCAAATGCTCTTCTCACAATCTGTCCTTTACTAATCATCTAGCCAGGCAGCACCAGCCTGGTAAGAGAGGTGCCTTGAAATACTAGAGCCAAGCTCTGTTTTCTGTACTCTGAGCCAATGTCATCACAGGCAGCTCTGTTGCTGTAGAATTCTTGCATATGCTGGCTAATTGCTTCACATTAAATATTGTCCATTTGAAGACACAAACACATGGCTCAGTAGATTTTTACAGAATTATTATGAGGAGGAGAACATATTAAATGTCTAATCATAAGGTAATTTTAAATATATTACAGTATATACATATGATATAATTTCAAATAATATTTTAAAATTATAGTATAAAATATACATTCATAAAACATTTAGTAAATTTTTAGTCACACACATATATATGTATGTGTTGTTTGTTATGAGTTACTTGTGACTCACTGCGACCCTGTCTACAAGAGCTTTGAAACTTGCTCTATCCTGTGCCAACCTTTTTTGTCTCTGACACATCTATCCCCATTACTCCAGTCACGGAATGAATTCATCTCATCGAGGGTCTTGCTGTCTTGCACTGTCCCTCGACCTTCCCAAGCATGATGTCCCTCTCCAAGGACTAGTCCCTCCTTGCAACATTCCCAAAGTATGTCATGATGCTTCAGAATCCTTGTCTCCAAGGAATAGCCTGGTTTCACTTTCTCTACGGCAAACCTTTTTGTTGTCCTAGCAGTCCATGGTATATTCAATACTCATCTCTAGCACCACAGCGCAAAGGCATCAATTCTCCTTCTCTTATTCTTAGTCATTGTCCAGCTTTCTGATGTTGTTATTCTTTGTTGTTGTTGTTATGTGCCGTCGAGTCGCCTA